TAGAACCAATATGGCACAAACGGATCCTTTGGCCAAACTAAAAAGAAGATTTTATGCACTGTAACTTGTTTATGTCTCTTTCCCAGAGAACCTTTGTTTTTCGGGGGGGGGGGGGAATTCTTCTGTTGAGAAAAATGTAGGATTGGAGAGGATCGTAAACCTAACCATGATCTTTATCAGTGAGATTATCTCTACAATCATTAGGTTTATTTAAAGTTGTGAACCTTTCTAAAACTTATAAGTCACATTAACATGATCCTCTTTGCATGATACCATCTTCTGAATTTTCAGCAAAGCATCAATATTGTACTTCCATCCTTTTGTATCCCAACTGTTCAGTAGAAATAAACCCTCACCAACATCATGAACATTAAAAGTAGTAAGCAGCGGCAAGAAGGCTGCGCGACTTGAATCCCCTTCTCAATAACACCCATATTTAAAATATTTACATGCTGCTATGACTTATTTTCATATACAAGTCTTGCAACATTTGGACCTCAACACAGTCCCTTCCGTAATAAACACCTATACAAAACCACACATCATATTCCTCTTTTGAAACTCATATGCTATATGAAATTTCCACTGTTTCATCAGTTCTTTCCAAAGAATCAATATCAGTTCTTGACAACAACAAATTTATGAAAATTCGCCAGTGCTTAGGATCCAATCCAACCTTATCATGGCCATCTCATAAACTCTCTGCAGTTCTGCAGTGGCAGTTTTTTTCCATCCGGTAATCTTTGGTACTAGACCTCATTGCAACTTGATGTCACGTCCAACCTTGCGGTGTAAAGTTCATTGATGTAAAATTTCTCAAATCATGTTTCGGAAAACTCTATCACAGTAAAACCTAGCCAAAGCACTAAATCATATGTTGCCATCATATAAATTCTGCATAGACCCCGTCAGGGTGGAGTTAGGAATTTTGTTCAGGATAGACACTTTAATTATGCACTCTAATTTTTTTTCTTCTAACCAATCACACTATATAACATATTTATATTTATTATATTATTTTTGATATATGAAGTCCATTTAGCATAAAAAATTCCAAAAATATATATATATATATTGTCAGGGGTGGAGCAATGAATATCTATGATAAAGGCAAAATATAACTGGTATAAAAAAATATTAAGCCGAAATTAATACAAAAAAATTCAGTTCAAAAATAAAAAAAAATGTAAGAATCAACACTAAATTATTGTGAAATAGTAAATTCAATTTTTATTTAGCCGAAACAAAATCTTAACAAAAAGACACAAAATAATTTTTTAGTACATTTTAACCTAATTATATATTTCAATAAAATATAAAAAATTTTAAAATCTCTAAATTTTTTTGTATATGAATTAAATGTAAATTAATTTTCGTATTTTATCAAGTTATAGACTACTATTACTAAAAAAAATGCTAAATAAAAACTAAGAATTATTCTTAAAAAGTAACGAACATTGTGTTAGATAAAGAAAAATATTGTATTTTTGTCAATATACAAATAAAAAATTAACTAAATCCAAAATTAACATATTTATTTTAGAGGGCTAGTGGTCTACTAATTTATTAAAAAAAAAAGACTAGAACTATTATTAAAATTTTCAAAAATTTAAGGGGTAAATATAATGTATAAAATAATTTTATAGGTTGGTGCAAGGAAGGACAAAAAAACTCAAGGAACTGAGTTTCTCGTGTGCTGAACTTTTCTCTATTTCTTCTCTTTTGTTTGTGGCTGGGGAAGTGGGCAGCTGGAAGTAAGTGATATAGAGAGAAAAAAAAAATGAAAGATAAGATAGGTTTTAGTCAAGTGGACCAAAATTTTTGTTTTTTAATGATGGTGGGCCAAAATTTTTGTTTTTAATGTTGGGCCAAAAATTTTGTTTTTAATACTGAGCTAAAAGTTTTGTTTTTTTAATAGATTTGGGTGGATTGTGATAGGTCAAATATTTGATTTTTTAATAAGTTTGGATAGATAATAGTGAGTTCAATTTTTTTTTGTTTTAAATGAACTTAATTGTTTAATTATTTTGGGTAAATAATGTGGGTCTAATATAAATGAAGGGGACACACATAATATATATTTATAAATATATAATACATGTATCTAACTAATAAAAAAAAAAAAATTGAGGGAAGCACGTGTCTACCCTGGCCCTACCTCCCTCCGCCCATGGACCCGTGATACTTGGCCATGGACTTTATAGATGCATGATTAAGCTTCAAACCTCACAAAATCTATTTACAGGAGTGGACCCTTGAAAGTTATGGCCTAGCAGTTATATTAGTGGACCATTTGAACACCCCAAACAATGTAGGCATGGACACCTAAAGGCACTTTCGGGCCATACAATCCAAAAGTCTTGAAGAAGAGTAGATTAGGTTGATGCATGACGAAAATTAAGCAAAGCAGGGGAAGACACCCCTGGTTTCGGGCATATTCAGAGAATCAATTCAATAGTATCCCTGCACAGAGTACCATTTGAAGAGCTGCAGTCTGCAGACCTCAAGTGTGGAAAGAAAGAGCTTTGAGCTACACCCAGTTGGGTAATCAGCTCTGCACCACGTGGATGAGTTTTGATAAAGGATCCTTGAAGCAATTCAAAAAGCAAATAAATCCTCTTCAATAAAAGGCAGTAAACAACATCTTGGTGGAGAGATAACGAGTATAAGACTCTCACCAAACAGGAGTCTCACCATCGTTATCGGCGGATGAGAGAGTCAAAAGACTCCTCAATCAAGAGGAGTCTTATCCTCCCAACCTGTCAGGGAGCCTAAAGTCCGCTTTAGGAGGGAACCTAATCCTCTTTTTTTTTTTTTGGAGCGGAGGGGGAAGAGGGACTTGAACCCTTGACCTTAAGAAGACAAAATCTTCACAAGACAAAAAGTACCATTAGACCAAAGACCCATTGGTAGGTAAGCTAATCCTAATATTCATAAAATAGTGCTCGGGAAAACACACAAGAGGTACGCAACACCCACTCCAAAGCCACTCTTCATTTCTCTTACAAAATACCGAGTTAAGCATCAGAGGATCGACCCCAAAACTCCATCTTTGGTCTCTGATTTCTTTTTTAGGTGATTGGAGCTCAGCTAGGCTTCGACAATGGTTCGGGCAACCCTGGCCCATGATTTGTAGCATATAGCATGCCTGTGGGGCAGGCATGATGGGCTTTGACTAGTCAACAGGTCGGGTTAGGCTCGGCCGTGAAAAAATCTAAGGCTCACGGCCTGCCCATGGGCCAAAAAACAAGCTAAACAAGGCTCGAACCGTTATTTGGGCCTGAAACGGGCTTTTTTTTAAAAAAATAATCTTTTATTGAAAAATTACAAAAAAAAACCCATAAATACATAAAGTTGGATATGAAAAAATAAATTAAGAAAAAAATTATTCGTATTAATTGAATTTAAAAAATAATCATACAGAGTTACAAGGTTATATTGATTGAACGTGAGACTATTTTGCATCACTACAAATTGAGTACATTCCAATTAGGTTAACACCTACACAATTGTCAATCATTTGCAAGTCTCAACTCTTTAAAAGATACAAATCAAATATCAAATCAGGCTTCAAGCCAACTCACTAGGCCCCGCCCCAAAAAAAAAACCCAGGCCCCACTTGCCTAACAGGCTAGCCATGTGTGTGGGTTAAACTGCCTGTTAGCCCGTTGGGCTGCCAAGCTTCAAGCGGGCCATTAAGCTTTGGGCTTTTTGTCGAGGGCCAGCTCCGACCAGCTAATATGCAGGTCGCTAAATATTCTATATCAACATAGTTTGGTGTTGTCTGTGGGAACGACGAGAAATCCTTTTGTTCTCACAATTTCTTTAAGTGAAGAATTCTAAATGGTGACTACCAGATAGATGAAAGACTATATCCCCAGATAGTACCATTCTCAAGAGCAACCAGAAGGAGATAATCATGACAGAGATACCCCTCGAATCAATAAGCAGCATGAAGCATAGAGAATGCTTAACCTAGAAAGAAATTACAATAGGATGAACCCAACTATGGAGAGTTTGGCCCAACAAACACAACAAATCGTTCAATTGCTTGCTAGCCAACCTCCTTAACAGGTCTCCAATTCAGGGAAACCCAGCGTAATCAGCCGAGGGACACTAGAGATGAGTATAGCCACAATGATACCCCTCGCCAACAAAGAGAATATAAATCTCTGGACTGAAAGTTTAGAGAAGTTAACCCCAGTCCAACACATGGAGTCCCCTTTTTTAGCATGATGTAATACATTACCCACTGCCCCCAAGTTTAAGCTGCCTACAATAAACAGATTTGATGGAAAGAAAGACTCTTTAGATCATCTGGAGATTTATAAGCCTCTTATGCTCCTCCATAACATTCCAGACCAGATGATATGTCGAGCATTTTCCACAACTCTTAAGGAAGCAACTCGACTATGGTTCGACAAACTCCCCCCAGGTTCCATCAGTTCGTTTGTTGAATAGAGTAAGTCCTTCCTATCCCATTTCATAGGAGGGCAAACTCACAAAAATCCAGCAACCTACCTACTGAACCTTAAGTAGGGGAGGGGAGTGTCATTGCGTGATTACGTGGCACCCTTTATTGAAGAGTCATTGGAGATTGAGAACGTGGATGACCAAGTAGCTCTGAAGCCATCTAACAAGTAAACTTATGGAAGTTACAAAAAAACAAAAGGAACTGTTCCTCAGACTCGAATTGACAAGCTTCCAATCTCCCTCTATAAAAATAATGATTTTGAACAAGTCCCTCAGTAGCACTAAAAGTTGCTGCAATTATAATTAACTTCCAGAGACAGACTTAATCAAAAATTTAACATCGTCTCCCGTGAAACAAGGCATTGAAGTTAAGTGTGTGACAACTAAAAACTAAGCATAATTTCCAATTACCCTCAATCACATGGGATGAAATTGCTCAACATTCAAGGCCCTTCATCTATATACGAAAATGGGTACATTAAAATGAAAGAAGACATGCAAGATGAGGAAATTGTAAAAGGCCTGACTTCCTTCCATATGTATCTGATAAAAAGTCCCACAAGAATGCCCCAATCAGCATGCCAGCAAAGACCACAGTTGATATCATGCTCTCTTCACTAGAAGAGAGTCCCCATACAGACTGAACAGTCGGTCCTACAAAAGAGAGAATCATCACTTCCATGGCTTCTGCAGTCCAACCTAATCCAGCATATGCAACCACAAGACCCTCCAATTTGTTGGGCCTTTGTGGAGTCTAGTTTGTGTGTTAATCCGGATGATGACCCGACCCGAAATAATATTGCGTAATTTTTTAATGAAAAATTTTCTGAAACTTGGGTCATGGAACAAAGACTTGGGCTTATAGGCCCAAGCCGCAGCGCTCATGGATAAGTCTCATGGGGGTTCAAGGGCAACGGCCTCGAGGAAAATTTTTGGGCCTATTTTGTAGTCTAGTACGTAGAACATATAAAATCCGTTGTTTTGGCGATTAAGGTTTCTGGTGTTTTGTACGACCGCTCTCTGTATTCATCTCTCTTAATAGTGAAATCCCTGCAGTTTCGTGGACATAGACAAATTGTCAAATCACGTAAAATCTGTGTCTTGTTCTTTCTTGTTTCTTATTGCTTTATGTTTTTGATTTGTTCTTTGATTATGTGTGTTTGTTTGTGAGTTTAAAGCGTGTTAAATCTCAATAGAATTTGCTGAACCTAATCGGAGAAAGTGCTTCATCCAAAGTGTATACAAGTCTCTGATCTCCCATCTACATAATCAAATAAATAAGATTTTACGATAGCATTAAAAAACATCATTATCCAGTTGATCCTCATTTTAAGAGGTTGCTGGGAGTAATGGGTTGGGTACAAACTTAACGATTGACATTTTTTCATACAAAGTGGATGCCCTGAGAAAGGAGACAACCATGGTTTTTAGTCCAACACTTCAAGCATTTTGCAGACGATGGACAATATTTTTTAGATTGTATGCAAAGAAATTCACACTGAAGAGTTCGTAGAAAAAGAGAATGGCATGTTTTTCTACAAAGGTAAGCCAGCCCCCATTCACAACTAAAGATTACACAGTTCTTAGCCACAACAAGCTTTACATCTAGGCAATACCCTACATATTAAATAAGTTGAGCAACTCGGATGTGAATGCCTAGGGATTACGACCTCAAGCTCAAAGTTTGACTTCCTCGTTGGTTAGACCCAGGCGCATGATTTATGCATAATCATGCTAATGACAAGTTTATCTTATAACTGTTGGGATTTCTCACGATTTAAATCCACTAACAAACACACACAATCGAAGAACAAATCAAGAATATAAAACAATAAGAAACAAGAAAGAACAAGACACAGATTTTACGTGGTTCGGCAATTTGCCTACGTCCACGAAGCTGTAGGGATTTCACTATTGAGAGAGTTGACTACAGAGAGCGGTTGTACCATCCACAATTAACCCTAATCACCAAAACAACAGGGTTTATATGTCCTACGCACTGGGCTGTATAACGGGCCCAAAAAAATTTTCCTCGGGGGCGTTGCCCCCGAACCCCCACGAGGCTTGTCCATGAGCGCTACGGCTTGGGCCTATCGGCCCAAGCCTTCGCTCCATGGACTAAGCCTCCGAAAATTTTCCATTAAAAACCATACAACATTATTTCGGATCGGGTCATCATCCGGATCACATATACAAACTAGACTCCATAAAAAAAAAACCAACAATAACAAGTCAGAAAAGCATCGCTGAGGCAGTTCTTTGTCTCCATAAAAATGAAAGATACGCTAAATATTAGAAGTAGCTAACTGCTAACATTGTCCGAGTACTCAGAAAATACAAATACCAGCGTGAACTGAAAGGCCTCAGAAATAAGATAAATATAGATCGCTTCAAGTGCCTTGCAAAGACTAACTTCATGATTTCATTTCAACCGAAAGCATCAAAATCTTGTTTCAAAACAGTCGAATTAGCTGAACCATTTCCATTACCATGAAAATTGAAATGAATCCACATGAAAAAAAAAAAAAAAACAAAATCAGTGTTATGATCAAAAGGATTACCAAAACCAAAGTAGTGTTATGATCATAATTGTTGATTTCATTCAATAAAAGTTTATAAAAGCATAAAAAAGCAGCAGTATTTCAAAACGGAATTCTGAATTTACTCAACGAAAAACAAAAGAGGGTGAAAAAAGCAGCAGGAATGTACCTTCCAAAATAGGAATGTGCCCCTTAAGCTCTGAATACGATTGCTCCCAAAGCCTCGGTCAGTTGGATTGTCAGTGAATCCCCTGCAACTGCAACTCTTCAATATACAGGACTTGACCACCTACCTCCAAAATATATATTAATATTATGCTCTGATTGAACATTCCTCTACCTACCCAGATGTTGCATTGTCTTTTCCAAGCCATAAATAATGACCACAAAATAAATAAAAAAAAGTCCCGCAAATATTCGTTTAAGAAACTCAGGAAATTTAAACCGTGACACCAAAAAGAAACCACGTACTTCGCCGTACTTCTCCATGCTGAAGGTAGTCTCGCTTTGTACCAACAAAGTAACTGCCATCTGCGGCGCCACTGGCCATATACAAAACTTCCGTACATTGGACATGAACACCGAAAAAATATTGGGGTAATTGTTTTGAAAGTTCTTAAAATATAAATTTTATTTTATTTTAATTATATTATTTTGATCTATAAGATATTAAATATATTTTTATGTGGTCTTTCGAGCATATAACATTTAAATCGCTAATAATTTTTAATTATAAACTCGTCATGTGATACTTAAAATATAGACAAAAAATAATTTGAGTAGCTTTTAACCAAAATTTGGATAATTCTTGACCAAAAATACTTAATATGAATAGCTTTTGACCACAATTTGGATAGATCGTAATCAAAACTGTATAATTTGAGTAACTTTTTGACAAAAATTTAGTTAAAAATTTGATTAAGAGTTATCTAAATCATATTTTTATCCATATTTAGGTATTATGTGAATAAATTTATAATAAAAATTGTTAATAGTATAGAAGCTATACATAAAAATATATTTTATATTTAATATTTCAATGACTAAAATGATATAATTAAAATATTAAAACTAAAATAAGACAAATTATATATTTTGAAGACCTCCAATACAATTAACCCAAAAATATTCATTAAAACAATTATACTATGTCATCACATACCTTGGTTACATAATTCATCTGTCAACCTCACGCTCTAGCACTCGGAACTTTCACAAATTCAAAGCAAAAATAACACAAATTCATGCTGTTATTTTACTAAATTGACAAATTCAAATTTTAACTCTAGTCCAACATTGAATTCTATTTTTGGGTTTAAATTTGAAAAAGGCAAATCAATGGACCTATGAATATACTACTTACTTTAGAAACATTTGCTTAAAAATTTTGCCTTTTTTAAAATCAATGGTTTAAATCCCCTCCCTCCCTCCTCCCCCTCTGAAAACACAATAAAAAGGTATGGAGAAGCCAATCTGAACCCGGAGGGAAAATTCATCCAAACCAAATCTTATAAACAATGACTTGCCCAGAGTTCTCTTAGCTTTTCGATGTGGGACAACGAGCAAGGCATAAAAATGCCTTAGATCTGCACCAAGTTTTTCATGCCTTCCGATGGGGAAAAAATACATATGCATTGTTGCTGTCGTCTTTATTTATGCACTATCAAATTAAACAAATTTAAAAAATTTATCATGCATTTGTATATAAATTTTATTTTCATAAAATTATGTATATATAAATATGTCTATATGTATATAACATGACGCTCCCAAAACACCCCCATTCTGAAAGTTTTTAAAAATATTGCGCTACCGCTCTGTATGACTTAGATTATCACGCTAACATAATGTAACTGTCTAATAATAGGATTACAAGTGAGCAAGTGGATCCCACATTGATAATTATTTCATGACATGAATAGAGTAGTTATTTAATTATGTGTGATCTACTTGCTCATTTGTTGTTCTATCATTGGACGGCTATATCATGTCAGCGTGATGACATAGTGTAGCCATTGCAATGAATATTTTCTCAACCGCTATGATGTAATACGCAGCAAATATGTTTGGATAATATAACAAAAAATAATAACAACTTATTATCAATTAATTATTCATAGCTATTAATTATAAAAATAAATTATATAGTAAACATGTTACATTTTTCTAAGTTGGAAAATAAAATTATGATATCGAAAAAATAATTTTTTTCATACCATAATTTAATATCATTATACACCATCCATATTCTATACATGAAAAAAATTACGGAATGAAGTTCGATACCAAAAAATAATTGTTTGGCATTGTAGTCTTTTCCTATTGCTTGTTGTTTTTTGCTAACCTAAACCACAATCTTTATTCTTTGGAGGGTCTTTTAACTAATAAGAGATCAAATGTTCAATTATTATCAAAGATAAAAAGACTGATTTCTCATGTCTCCTCTTTGGATTTCTTTTCACCCTTCTATGAGGAGAAAATATTCATTGCAACGGTAATACCATGTCATTACCGCCACATAGTATCACCATCCAATTAAAAGACAACAAATATGTAAAGTGAATCACATTAATTCAATGTATTACTAATTAGATGTGGTGGTTACTGATAGTTATGAAAATAGTGGGATTCACTTTACCCATTTCTAATCTTTTAATTGGATTGTGACACTACGTGACAGTGATAACATGGTGTCACTGTTGTATCCTAGTATTTTTTCATCAGTTTTAAATACGCTAAAAATTATAATAATTGGTATAGTGATGTGGGATTAAATTCGGAGGTTTTATATGTTTCGTTTCTAAGCAGGAATCATGTCTCCCTTTCGATTGGAATTATTCTACTGAGGAGACACAAAAAAGTCGTGGTGTTAGGTATTCTACTGAGGAGGAACAAAAAGACACATGCAAAGGTTTGATTAATTTTTCTTCATGTCAATTCAGTTAGCACACTTGCCTGTACGCAAACTGCAATTCGGTGTTGAAACCACTCAATATCTTGACTACTTTGGAATTACTTGGAATTATCAACACCACATGAATTTTTGACATTTGTATGATAACTACTACTACTTTTTTTAATAAAACCTAGACAGAACGAGGGTAAATATTATTAATAAAAAGAAGAAATTACACTTAGTTGA